TTGGCTTGTACCTGATGTCAAACTCACTAAGTTCAACAGCCCATTTAATCAGCCTCCCCGAAGATTCTGGCTTATGCAGCACCTGCTTCATAGGTTGATCTGTTGGGACTTCGATAGTATGAGCCTGGAAGTAGGGTCTAAGTCTCTTGGCCATTGTCACAAGGGCTAAAACAAGATTTTCCATCTTTGGATACCTTTCTTCTGTCGCCCTTAGAGCTTGGCTACAGTAATAAACTAGTTGTTGAGCTCTGTCCTTCTCCCTTACTAACGCTACGCTGGTTGAGAACTCTGAGACAGCTAGGTAAAGGGTGAGGACCTCTCCTTCTAATGGACTCACCAAGATAGGTGGGGAGCTCAGGTAGTGTTTTAATGCTTTGAAGGCTTCTTCACATCGAGCATCCCATTGAAAAGGTTTCTTTAGAACTTGAAAGAAGGGCTGACACTTGTTATTTGACCTGGAAACAAAGCGACTCAGGGCAACTATTCTTCCAGTTAAACGTTATATCTCCTTCATGTTGGAGGGAGGCTGCATATCTAACACTGTCTTTATCTTCTCTGGGTTTGCCTCTATCCCCCTACTATTAACTATGAAGCCCAGAAATTTTCCTACTGACACCCCAAAGGCACACTTAGCTGGGTTGAGTTTCATCTTGTACTCTCTTAGGACCTGAAACGACTCTGCTAGGTGTCCAATGTGGAGCTTTGCCTTTAGTGACTTAACCAGCATGTCGTCAATATAGACCTCCATGGAGGTCCCAATCTGTTTTTGAAACATCCTATTTACCAGGCGCTGGTAAGTGGCTCCTGCATTCTTTAGACCTAAGGGCATTACATGATAGTAGCATGTCCCCTGCTCAGTTATGAAGGAGGTCTTCTCTTGATCACCAGGGTCCATCCTAATTTAATTATGCCCCGAGAAAGCGTCCATGAAGCTGAGGAGCTTGTGTCCTGCAGTGGCATCTACAATTAGATCTATTCGAGGTAAAGGGAAGCTGTCTTTTGGGCAGGCACGATTGAGGTCTGTAAAATCGATGCAGAGGCGCTATTTGCCATTTGTCTTTTTTACGAGGACCACGTTTGCTAGCCAAACTGGGTAGTCTACTTCCCTAATGGCTTGTGCGTGAAGGAGCTTGTTAACCTCCTCATTGATGGTTTTCTGACGCTCCGGGGCAAAGCTCCTCCTTTTCTGCTTTACAGGCTTGCAAGTAAGATTCACGCTGAGCTTATGAGTAATAACGGAGGGATCAATTACCTTTCATGTCCTCTTGTTTCCATGCAAAAACGTCCTTGTTCCTTTTGAGGAATTGGATAAGGAGATCCTTAATCTCCTCACTCAGTTTGGACCCAATGTAGACGAGGTGCTCTGGCTCCTCATCAATTTGAATAGGCTCCAGCTCCTCTGATGGCATTAGTCTGGTTTCAAGTTCATCCCTCATGTTAGGCTCATCCAATTGGATGCTCTCTACCTCCTTATTTCTCATGGATGTCATGTAACACTCCCGTCCTACACATTGGTCTCCTCGGACCACTCCAACTCCGTTTTCTGTTGGAAACTTCACTAGAAGGTGATAGGCGGAGGGAATAACCCTTATAGAATTGAGCGAAGGTCTTTCGAGGAGCATATTGTATGCTGAAGGTGCATCAATCACTAGGAATTTCACAATTGTGGTGGTCTGACAAGGTGGGTCACCTAAGGTCAAGATGAGTTGGATTGACCCCAGGGGCAACACCCTTTCTCCTGAGAATCCCAACTGGTGAGTGCTTACTGGTCCAAGCTTTTCCCTCCCTATGTCCATTTTGTCGAAAGCAGAAGTGAAAATGATGTCTGTCGAGCTGCCATTGTCAATCAAAATGCGATGGACAGTCCTGTTGGCCACCACAACTCTTACCACCAAAGGATCATCATGGGGATGTTGACAACCCTCCAGATCTGAATCTGAGAAAGTGATGGTTGTTTCTAGACGTGGAACCTTAGATACAGTATACACTTTGGGAGCTTCTGTGGCTCTAATGTTTTTGCAAGTGGGCCTTTCTGACAGAGCTGGACTCTCCTCCTCCGGCAAATCCTTCAAATATCACTCTAATCTCCCCCATAGGCTGCTGGTGCGGTTCTGGTGCTTGATGCTGAGGTGGCGGAGGTGGGAGAGCTCGATTTTGGTTGTCATTGGCTACATAGCATCGCAGCTGCCCTCGCTGGATTAGAAACTCTATTTCCTTCTTTAGTTGGATACATCCGTCTGTATGATGGGCATGGTCTCTGTGAAAGTCACAATATTTTGTGGGATCCCTTTTCGCTAGGTCTGCTTTCATTCGGGGTGGCCACCTTAAGAATTTCTCATTCTGCACCTCATACAGGATCTGAGACACCGTAACAGTCAGAGGAGTGAGCTGTCAAGGTGCATACCTCGGTTGCAGCTCTGGCTGTGGAGGGCCCAGGCGGTCCCTAACATTTTCTCTTCTTTTCGGGGAACGTTCTCTATCTCTTCTTGGAGACGTGCCCCACTCTCTTTCCCTTCTGGGACTTCGATCCCTCTTCTTCTCCTCCTCCTCCTTTCCTTTCTCCTTTCGTGATGAAGAGCCCCTGACCTTAGAGATGCGTGCTTCCTCACCATTTATATATTTCTTTACTTTGGCAAGCACCTCTGTCATGCTCGTCTGCGGGTTCTTTGAGATGGAGAACATCAAGTCCTTAGATTGCACGCCCAGACCTGCGATGAAAGCTGTGATAGCAAATTTCTCATATGGTACGTCTACCTTTAGGGACTCTGAGTTGAACCTCTGGACATATGATCGTAGGTTCTCATCAGGTCCTTGCTTTACATTCAATAAGTGGTAACTCGGTTTCCTGTAGGTTCGAGCCCCAATGAAATGGGATACGAACGAGAAGGAGAGCTCTTTAAAAGAGGATATCAAGACTGGAGGGAGCCTATTGAACCATGCTAGAGCTGAGCCTTTCAAGGTGATAGCAAAGGCCCTACATCTCACTGGATCTTGATATCCATGCAACTTCATCTGGTTCTTATAGGTATTGAGATGGTCCACTGGATCTTTGGTCCCATCAAAAGCATCTATCTGTGGCATTCTGAATTTAGGTGTGAGAGGGAAGTGCAGCACTCCAGCAGTGAACGGGGATTCGGTTTGTTGCACCAAAGCATCCATTATGACTGGAGTCTTGCCCTTCACAGCTTCCTTCATCTGGCTGAGCTCCTGCTGAATGTCTTTGAAGCGTTATTCCCAGTGATGTTCTCTCCTTTCCTGCTAATGTGGGAAGAAATTGCTCCTCTCCCCTCCCTTATACTGACTTTGTACTTCCTCGTTGTGGCCATTCCTAGAGGGTAGGCGAGGTTCTTGTCCCAAGGTCTGGCTATTTTCTCCCACTTCATTAACCTCTCTAAGGAGGTCCAGATGTGGTTGCTCTCTTGTTGGTGGGTTGTTCTGGCCTTCTTGGGACTGTCGTGCCTCTTGTGGGCGTTGTAAGAGCTTTAAGAGCTCTTCGTTCTGTTTTATCAAGCGCTCATTGACAAGACGAAGGGCTTTCATCTAATTAATCATGGGAAAACCCTCCATAAGCGGATTTGTCTCTCGTACGTTCTCGGGTTACCTTCCATAGGTGGCTTCTTGTTGATCTTTCATTCGTGGTGGAATGGTTTGACGTCGGCTCATGTTTCGCGTTGATACCATCAATCACTGAAGAATCAGCTTATTTATAACAGAAACAGTCGTTCCCATAGACGGTGCCAAACTGATGGTGTTTTTCCACTAGTATGAGCAATAAATTGGTAATATGTTGTATAATGATGATCGTGAAAAAGTAAAAAAAAGGATTTGGGAGTTAACACCGAAGAATTATAGTGGTTCACTAGCTCGGGAGCTCGGCTAGTCCACTCTGTCAATGGAGATTCTTGCCCCTTTTTTATCTTCTATAACAAAGATATCAAGAATACAATGGTTACTGTTCCTCCTAGGGTCTCATGCCTTCTTTGGAGGCGTTACATAGTATTTATAGTATTGTCCCTTATTCAGTGGGATCTTGGCTGAGATCCTTGCCCCTTCCTCGTAGAATATTCCTTGATTTTAGAAGAGGATCTTTGGTTGAGATTGAGTGTCTTGATTATAGCTTTCTCATGTTTTTGAGTCACACGCTATCATCCATCTGTTTATTGGTGATTCCCGCTATTTTCTTATCTTATGGGACCCACGGTTCTAGTCCTCTGAGCTCAGCTCGTCTTGCCTGATCTCTCGTTCTGAGCTGACCTCCCGAGCTGACACTTGAGATTTATTTTAAGTATCATCATAGATAAATTATATTTTCAATATCATTGTAATGACACAAATACATATTGCGTCATGCAAATGTTTGTAAAACAACTAAATAAAAGCACGAACACTTATTGAATTATAAAAAAAAAGAAAACACATAAAGAAAAGGGCTTTAAGTTATAGTGGCCAGACAATCATACACAATTAAAAGAAAGTTAGGTTGCATAAATAAAATAAGCAATTAAATTAAATGTGGTAAGCAAATCAACCACATCCAACAAAAATAAAAAAGTAAAAACAACCCTACTTTAGTGTTACTAATAAGAGGATGCATTGATATTAAAATTGTAAAATAGAAGGAGATGAAAAGTTAGAGTTTGATATTTTTATTAAGAATATATCAAAATAAATTTGATAATAAATAAGGCTCAAACGTGTATTTATTCATAGTTTGACCATCAACTAATAAAAATAAGTTTAACTCCTTTTAACTGTTAAAGTTACCTTTTAAAAGGAAGATAAAAAGTTTGGTTATGTATAATAATACTAATGAATTTGTATTAATATGAATTTCTTGTTAAATTTAATGTTAATTTAGTTCTATTAAAATGAGTTTTGCATTAAATATGGTAATATTGTGATTATGTTTTCTTGTAGGGATAAAATAGTCAAATAAAAGATTTTCTTGATTGTGTACTTTTATTAGTAGTATAGATAGATATGGATATATTTTTGGTTAAATGGTGGTGCTTATTCATTAATAATTGTTGTTTTTCTGTGTGACTGTAAGATTGATGCACTGACGGAGGCATCGAAGTCAATCGATACACTAGAGGCCTTAATTGATCATGATATTGAACATAACTGTGCAAAAGTCTCAAATAGTAATTCGAGAGACCTTGTGAGAGTGAAGCGTTCAATTGACATGCTCAGGATAATATTCGTGCAAATTCTGATCCAGAGGTAATTTATAAAAAATTCATTTTATATATCTTTATTTTGTGAATTCATGGCAATAATTGGTGGGGTGGAGCTAGAAATTTATTTTAGAGGAAGTCATTTTAACTACAAAATTTTATTTATTTTAAAATCAAATGATATATGCATATATATATATTTTATTTTTCTCCAATTCTATTGATATCTCCCTCAATTTCGTTTAATTCATAATAATTTCATCAGACAAAAATATATATATATGATTTTTAAAATCCCAATGTTAAGTAGTTTTATATCATGATCACAATGGTTTTTTTATTTATAAGATGATCATATTTTTCGTAAGATGGTGACCCTAATTATGTCCTTTAAATATGGAACTATGTGCAAATGATAGAATGGACACGATTGTATATATTTGAAGTGTTACTTAATTAGATATATAAAAATTGAAGGTAGGTCAGTGACCCCCTAGCCCCTGCGTCAATCCTCCTATGATATAATAGGTACAAATCAATTGATTTTAGGTACAAATCATTTGATTTTAGGAATGCTTTCTTCTTACAAGAAAGGATCAAAATATCGTTTCGAAACGTCTGAAATGCTTCTGTTTTCAAGGGGACCGAAACGAATCAATGATGAAATCGAAATTCTAATTTTTCGAGGTGTTCCATAATGTTTTGAAATGTTGTTATATTTCAATGTATTTGCACAATTATTTCGGAATGTTTCAATGTATTTTCAAAATATTTTGGTATATTTTAACCAATATTTTAAAAAAATAAGTCTTAAATTTTTATTTTTTTCATTTTGTTTCCGAAACGGGTCGAAACATTTCTGAAACACATCGAAATGTTTCCGTTGCCGGGACGACCGAAACGATGCACCAAAACAAAATTTTGATCCTTGCGTACGAGTCATGGCCGATTTAATATGTTAGACCATAAACTCTGAGAGATATAAGGTTTCTGTCAAAAAAAACTTAGAGATCATGAGAACTATGAGCTTTGCATATATATATATATATATATATATATATATATATATATATAGATAGATAGATATAGATATATATATATATATATTTGGCATGAAAACCTTCTACGATGAAAAGTTGTTTTCATCAATGTGAACAAAACCGACATGTCAAGAGGATACAAACGGATGGACCTCAAAATTCAGCTAAGGCTGCCATTACATATGCTACTAACATGTTATGAGGTTTATTTCCTTTGTGAGTTATCAACTTTTTTGGCACTTCATCTATAACGTTTGTAGCAATTAAACTTATAAACTATGTTTTATATCAATTTAGCCCCTTGAACTATGAAATCTAATTCAATGTGGCCCTTCCATCAAAATTCGCCGTTAAGTTTGACGAAAATCTTTAAATGCACCTCACGTGAGTCAGAGATTATGTTATAGTTTAGAGGTCACAAGATGTACACGTGAGAGTTTTTGTCAAAATTAATGGCGAATTTGGATGAAGGAGCCACAGTGAGTTAGATTGTATAGTTCATAGGTTAAATTGACACAAAATATAGTTCATAAGTTTGATTGACACAAATGGTATAGTTCAAGGGGCTAAACAAGTAATTATTAGCTTTTTTCCAAAATAACCTTCTTTTAGTTTATACATTTTATATTACATTATAAGATTTTGCCCTTTAGCTCCGAAATAAGTAATTGTTGTTAATGAATAAGTGACTATGATAATCAGTAAGCCGAGCTACTACCGATGGGTGCTTACATAATTCTTGAGACAGAACAGATAGGCCCATTTCTTGGGTTGCATGTTTCTCATCCATAAAGAGTTTGCTGGTTTTCGATTTATCAGAAACTTTATTCTTCCTTCCAGATATACTGCTGTTAGAATAATGTAAGAAGTTTTAAAGAATACCTGGATTTCATTTGCAGGGGAAATTCCATAATTGGTCCAGTTTCCATAGCATATGAGCAGGTTTTTGCTCCATACCATGGCTGGACTATTAAGACTGCTGTCTCTACTGCATTATATACCCTTCCTTCACTTGCACGAGTCTTGAAGAAACTAAATGAAAGTGGTGAGTGGATACTATAACACTTGTCACGTGTATTGATGTTTGAAAGATGAGCTTGATTNTGCACGGGCGCAAGTCTTGAAGAAACTAAATGAAAGTGGTGAGTGGATACTATAACATAACCTGCTGCCACGGTCGCATAAATACATGAGCAATATTTTGTACACTTTCAAGTAACAAAGGTTAAATTAGCTTACATCGATCTACTTGTCACGTGTATTGATGTTTGAAAGATGAGCTTCATTGCTGTACTATTTTTCAAAATTCATTTCTTTCTTTCTTTGTTTTTTTTTTTTCTCTTCAGAGGACTCAGCAATGGTTCAGATGCAAAACTATGTAACGGCATCAGCTCCTGTCATACAATATATTGAGAACTTATTTCACTCAAGGGAATCAGGTGACGTGGTGCTAGGATTGGTATAATCAGCTATTAATCTCCTTTAAGTTCGTAATATGACCTGATGTTGGAGAACTTTAACTCAAGGTAATGCATGTAATAACCTCATGATATGCAAGGTTAAACTGTTCTTATCATGTTCCCTTTAATTTGTAGAACTTGACCATAAAATGAACCACTTAAACTTATGGTAAGGCTTCTTTTAGATCATTTGCACCTGATATGGATCAAATCATATTAGTGTCTGCCTCATATCAACTATAATGTTGCATGTCTACTCGGATAACTTGCATCTAATGATTCATCGTAGTCACGGTTGCTCTGTTTTGTTCATCATGCCATGTTTTCTTCAAAGATATAACAAACTACACATCCAACATTTCACTGGGGAGGCTGCTATTTGATCATGTGAGTGGCAGTGTTAGGATATGTCTGATTCCAACTGCAATTCAATGCAAATCTTTTGTCATTTCCTTTGTCTGTTTTTGTAGGTAAAGAAAGCCTATATAGATTAATNATATGTCTGATTTCAACTGCAATTCAATGCAAATCTTTTGTCATTTCCTTTGTCTGTTTTTGTAGGTAAAGAAAGCCTATATAGATTAATGTGTAGAAATAATTTGAAAACTGGTGTGATGATGGTAAAAGTTTTTTTTTCCTTTTTGCCTCTCAATCTGAGATCAATTTTTATACGAAAGGGAGATCATACAATCAATAAGAAAGAAGAGAGATGACACAGAAACTTATACCATATGAGAATCCATAAAATAGTGGTTTCGAAAAACGCTTTTGACGTTTGAAATGGTTTGTGGTGAAAGACAGTGGAAGAGTTGATCACATCAGATGCAAACATTCTGCCTTTGAACCATTTGAGAACCCAAGAAAGTAATTACATTTGTAAGATCTCTTTCAAGAAAAACCAATCCATTTCTGAAGCTCATTAGCCACTGATGATTACTTTCTAAGCCCAACTAAGACGACCCAAGTCCCCCACGACGTGGTGCTCTCCATGACAGCTTGGGCTACAAGCCCGGCCCCTTCAGAGCTCAAAGTCATTTAGCCTAGGATAGATGCCAGCTCGGCATATACAAATGTGGCGAAAAGGGTCTGCTCGGGATGTGGAACTCGGCGAAGTGGATCTGCTCAGGATAATGGAGCTCGACAGCGAATAGGCCCAAGGAGCCCTTGTCACGCCACGTGGGCAGGAAACAAGGGGACAATACCTGACAGCTCTAACAAACGAATATTCATCGATAGTAAAAATACCTCATGTATTCCATTCCAGGCGTAGTGAACCCAAAAAATATGAGGGTGTCAAGTTCAACCACAGGACAAATGATGAGGGAACCATAGAATCAGTCATAAAAGGAAACACCATGGAAACCCTAGTAGCATGATATATAAATAGCTAATGATATTACTATATAAGGGAGGCAAAAAGAAAAGATAAGACAAAGAGAGACAACCTAGGAAATACTTTGTAAAAGACTCCCAGCCAAACCTTCTGTAACTACCATCTTCTCCTCCAAGCAATATAGCCCCAAAGGAACAAGAAGTTCCTTTACAATGGACGTAGTCTTAATCATTCGGCTGAGGTGAATCACTTATATTTTTGTCTTTATCATCCCTTTTACACTCCACACACTCTCATCCATCCGCACACACCAAGCCCCTTTGGGCCTCATCTCTTTGTTGTTCTATAATCGGATAAGAAGATTTCGAGCACTATCAGCCACTAAGCTCAGCTTGTAATGGTTCAAGCTTCGCTTGCAAAGAAAATGAGCTTTTAATTTAGGCACTTGGCTTGTCTTTTAGATGTTTATTTAATTTTTTTCTCTATTCTGATTTTTATATATTTACGATCTTGTACATACTATTATTTATTCTCATGCATGTGTGGGGTGGGTGGGGTGGGTGGGCCATCGACTTGAACTTACACTGGAAACACGAGATATGATAAGAATTGTTTGATAAGTGGGATTGGGGGGCTTTGGAAGATGGGTTGGGAAAAAAAATAGTCCAAATGACACAAAAAAAATCATGTTTGACCAAAAATTTGAAGCTTGGGTTACCAAACCCAGCCCAACCCACTATTGGCCTGAATCTTAAATCCCATATCATGGGTTTCATCAAACATCCGGGAGGGGAGGGGGATGGCTTTCGGATGATGGTTAACGGGTTTAAGATACAAAAAGATAATTATATCTCATACGTATACAAACATAGGTTTGGATTATATTGATGAAGGGGCAAAATAATTATTTATATACAAATATATTATCATAATAGTGATATATCTGTGGGCATACCAAACATGTGTATGGACTAGATTCAATGTTAAATAATATCTTTTTAAAAAGAGGTTTGAGTTTGGATGAATTTGAGAAAGTCAATCCAAACCCTTCCCAAAAATTCATCCAAACAAGCCCTTGGAACAATGGTTTCACCTATGAGAACAAAGGTAGGTGGAAAAATTATACTAGAGCTAGGCCTAACAATCGTGTCGAGTGGAACGGTTTCGTGTTCGGTGAAACGGGTTTATGTCAAAAAACTGTCCATCCATATCTCATTCGTTTATATAAACAAATCCAATTATCACATTTATGCACGAATCATTTATTAGGCGGGTAACTTGATACAACCCGTGTGTCATTCGCTAAATAAGAGAATAAGTTAAAATATTTCGAGTACACACGAAAAATTATCAACTTGTTACACATTATACATATTTTGACTTGTTTACTATAACAATAAATTATGGTTGAGCAACAAAATAAAGAAAAAAAAATATTAAATGACTACTAAATTTGAATAAGTCTAAGAGATGAAAGGTGTGAGATGAGGCAGAGGCTGAGAAACCTAACTTTTAAAAAAAAAAATATTATAGTACCACTATTAACGGGTTGAAACGAGTTTACAGGTTAAACACAAAATCAATTCATTTATTTCACGGGTCTGCTAAGTTAACCCGTTAACTATCTGAACCCGTTAAAATTACACTCAAACTCGTTAAATCCGTATCGGATTCGTGTTGATTTTACGAATCATGTTTAAGTAGAGCCTATCCTCTCTGTCAAAAAAAACTGAAATTTTTAAAAAGTTTGGGACCTAAGTAAAATTTTTGAAAAATTTTAGAACTTTCTGAAACCTTGTCCCGCTGAAATTTTCATAAAATATAATAGAGCCTTCCCACCCCATTCCTCTTCCCCAAAGCAGCATCAGCATTTACCTTTACCCAATCATCTTCTGGGACACCTCACTTCGAAGGCACAACTTACTTGGCATTTATTCCTTCTGTCCATGTATCTGGGGGGAGAAAGAGAAATTATCAAATATCAAGTAATTTTTTGAGTTTTAATATATTTTTATTAATCGTATAGATAATCACGTTCATGTAAAGAATTGACTTTCGGTTTATCTATTTTCTAGTTTTTCAATTGAACGGTTGCACCATGTGACATCATTGATGTAGGATAACCATTAGATTAAATATTTCCTCAAAATTTTAGAGTAAATATTCAATGTAATGGTATTTCAAGTAAATATTAAATATAATGGTTACGTCAAGTCAATAGTGCTACGTGATGTAACAAATTAATAAAAAAATTAAAAAATGGAGAAAATGGATGATGATTATTGAATTTTATGGGACTCTCTTGTTCACTTGTTAATAGATAATTACATAAAATGACACTATTGATATGGTGGAACTATTACCATTGATATTTTTCCAAGATCACCGGCAAACGCACACCCACACCCATAGTGACTTCACTTAGCATTGTTCTTTTTTTTTTTTTTTTTTTNTCATCATGCCATGTTTTCTTCAAAGATATAACAAACTACACATCCAACATTTCACTGGGGAGGCTGCTATTTGATCATGTGAGTGGCAGTGTTAGGATATGTCTGATTTCAACTGCAATTCAATGCAAATCTTTTGTCATTTCCTTTGTCTGTTTTTGTAGGTAAAGAAAGCCTATATAGATTAATGTGTAGAAATAATTTGAAAACTGGTGTGATGATGGTAAAAGTTTTTTTTTCCTTTTTGCCTCTCAATCTGAGATCAATTTTTATACGAAAGGGAGATCATACAATCAATAAGAAAGAAGAGAGATGACACAGAAACTTATACCATATGAGAATCCATAAAATAGTGGTTTCGAAAAACGCTTTTGACGTTTGAAATGGTTTGTGGTGAAAGACAGTGGAAGAGTTGATCACATCAGATGCAAACATTCTGCCTTTGAACCATTTGAGAACCCAAGAAAGTAATTACATTTGTAAGATCTCTTTCAAGAAAAACCAATCCATTTCTGAAGCTCATTAGCCACTGATGATTACTTTCTAAGCCCAACTAAGACGACCCAAGTCCCCCACGACGTGGTGCTCTCCATGACAGCTTGGGCTACAAGCCCGGCCCCTTCAGAGCTCAAAGTCATTTAGCCTAGGATAGATGCCAGCTCGGCATATACAAATGTGGCGAAAAGGGTCTGCTCGGGATGTGGAACTCGGCGAAGTGGATCTGCTCAGGATAATGGAGCTCGACAGCGAATAGGCCCAAGGAGCCCTTGTCACGCCACGTGGGCAGGAAACAAGGGGACAATACCTGACAGCTCTAACAAACGAATATTCATCGATAGTAAAAATACCTCATGTATTCCATTCCAGGCGTAGTGAACCCAAAAAATATGAGGGTGTCAAGTTCAACCACAGGACAAATGATGAGGGAACCATAGAATCAGTCATAAAAGGAAACACCATGGAAACCCTAGTAGCATGATATATAAATAGCTAATGATATTACTATATAAGGGAGGCAAAAAGAAAAGATAAGACAAAGAGAGACAACCTAGGAAATACTTTGTAAAAGACTCCCAGCCAAACCTTCTGTAACTACCATCTTCTCCTCCAAGCAATATAGCCCCAAAGGAACAAGAAGTTCCTTTACAATGGACGTAGTCTTAATCATTCGGCTGAGGTGAATCACTTATATTTTTGTCTTTATCATCCCTTTTACACTCCACACACTCTCATCCATCCGCACACACCAAGCCCCTTTGGGCCTCATCTCTTTGTTGTTCTATAATCGGATAAGAAGATTTCGAGCACTATCAGCCACTAAGCTCAGCTTGTAATGGTTCAAGCTTCGCTTGCAAAGAAAATGAGCTTTTAATTTAGGCACTTGGCTTGTCTTTTAGATGTTT